AGCTGTTGGCCTTGTTTGTCTCTTACTGGCTAGCTCTGCTTTAAGTAATTACCCCATAATTGTTAATCTAAGTATGTCTCTTACCGGAGAATAGTTCCAGGCTTCCTACCCCCAATGGCGTTACATGTTGACTCTCTTGTGTTTCCCCTTCCCAGAGTCCTCCTGGACTCCTAGCCCCACCTATCTAGATTCCTATTGGCCAGACAGTGCTTTATTAGCATAAGACTTCCCCAACAAAGAGGCCCCAGGGAATATTCTAGAAAGATTGTGTATCCTGATTGGGATTTTTTTTTTGTCACCTTGACACAAGTTAGAGTCATCTAAAAGGAGGCATCCTTTCCTTCGGGATTCTGGGTTGCATAAGGATGGAGAGGTTGAGCTGAGCTGTAGCACATGCACACCCATTCCCTGGTCTCTGCTCTTAACGGTGCACTCAGTGTGACTCGCTGCTTCAAGGTCTCGTCACCTTGACTTACAATGGCGGACTGTGAATCTGGAAATCCTTCTCCGCTAAGTTGGTTTGGTCAGAGCACTTTTGTCATAGAAATAGAAAATAAAACTAAGACAAAGCTTTAAAAATAATTAGGAAAGCTGGGTGGTAGTGGCTCACGCCTTTAATCCCAGCACTAGGGAGGCAGAGGCAGGCGGATCTCTCTGAGTTTGAGACCACAAAGTGAGTTCCAGGACAGCCTCCAAAGCCACAGGGAAACCCTGTCTCGAAAAACCAACCCCCCCCCCCCCCAAATTAGGAAAATGAACCGGGGAGATGACGCAGGGGACACTGGATTGTCTTCCAGGGGTCTCTGTTACTCCAGCTCCAAGGGATCTGGTGCCTTCTACCCTCTGCTCTGGGGGCACCAAGGACACACACATTTGCACACAAGCAGAGCACCCGTGTGCATAAAATCAATAAGTTTTAAAAAAAGTTTCAAGAAAAGAATTACAGAATTCCTAGAGCCAGAATGAGCCGTGATCAACTGAAACCCACTAGAGAGATTCAGAACCCGCGTGAGCAGGCAGCAGGATCAGCTCAGCCAGCCTACAATGACAATGAATTTACTAACGCTAAAGATGAGGGAAATAACACGGGAGAAAAGTCAAAGTGAGGAGCCCAAGGTACCTGTGGGCTACCCTTGAGTGAACCACTGTGCACTGTCGAGCGAGCCTTGCTTTCTGCCTGCCTGGGCTCTGATTGGCAGCCTTGCTTTCTGCCCGCCTGGCTCTGGTTGGCAGCCTTGCTTTCTGCCTGCCTGGGCTCTGATTGGCCGGTTTCTCAGTCTTGCCTCTTGCCTCTACTGCATTCTTTTACTGATGTTGGATTCAGTTTCCTCGGGCTTCCAGCCTAACAGGGCCCATCAGGTCTGCAGGAATCCAGGCCTCCGGTGTCAGACCACGGAGACGTTCAGCCTCCTGGACCGAGCAACTACTGGATTCTTAGCCTGTTCAGTGTGAGACCACCAGTTTGGGTTTCCCAGGCCACATCATGTAGTTCGTTTATGTCTGACAAATTTGTTTTTAGTTTACGTTTGTCCTATTGATTCTTTTCCTCTGGGGAACCCTGACTAATTAAGAACTTGATACCAAAACCACCTCAAATACCTCAGCTAACTGAGCGCAGCACCACTTTGAAAGGATCGCACACCAATAGAAGCCGCTCATTCATGGAACCCGAGCAGCTTGTAAACACCAACATAAATACAGCACATTAGCAGGGTCATGGCCGGGGAGGTACGCGGCCTTCTCATTGGATGCAGGAAAAGAGGCATCTGAAAAATTCAATGTGATCATTAAAAAAAAGAAGGCAAAACGAAACAAAAAAACCAAGGGTTGGAGAGATGGCTCAGCAGTTAGGAGAACCTGCTGCTCTTCTAGAGGACTGGAGTTCAATTCCTAGCGACTGATCACAACCTCAGCTCTAGGGGATGAGACAACCTCTTCTGGACTCTGAAGGCATTTGCACACATGGCAGACACAGATAGACACACACCAGTAAATAAATAAACAAATAATATTTTTAAAAACCTAAGAGTGCTGCCGCATACCTTTAAATCTAGCCTTTTAGACACAGTCAGGCAGATCTCTGTGAGCTCAGGGCTAGCCAGGGCTAACAGTGAGATCCTATCCATGTGCTCCCCCATACCCCAAAATAAACAATCCAATAATAATAAAATAAAGATACAAAATTGAAATCAGCCTAGTGGTGGTGGTGGCAGCACATGCCACACAGCCACAGTCACACCCATGCCACATAGACACAGTCACACCCATGCTTACAGCAGCACTGTTCACAACAGCTAAAAAGTAGAAATGGCTTGGATGCTACAGAGCGAGTTCCAGGACAGCCTCCAAAACAGTTCAGAGAAACCCTGTCTCAAAAAAAAAAAAAAAAAAAAAAAAAGAGAAATGGTTTGGATGTCTATTAATGGATGAGTGGGTAAGAAAAAACAGATGAGTGGGTAAAATACGTAGCACATAAGCACAATGGGATTCTAGAGATTTTATTTTATGCACATAGGTGTTTTGCTCGAATGCATGTTTGTGCTCTACATGGGAGCCCCAAGAGTTACATGGACAGTTGTGAGCTGTCAGGTGGGTGCTGGGAACTGGACTCCAGTCCTCTGCAGGAGGCGCTAGTGTTCTTAACTGCTGAGCCATTTCTCCAAGCCCCTATGCAATGGGATTTCATTCAGCTATACAGAAAAATGAAACTGTGACGTGCGGGCGAGGGGGGGGGCTGGATACAACTGTAGGTTATGCTAAACAGAAGAAACGTAGGCAAGTACGATATTTACGTTCATTATGCGGAATCCAGATTCCTGTTAGTGTGGATTTATATATGTGGGGCATGAGGAGGAAGGGGAACAGAGAGAGGAGGATGAGATGCACGTGGTATGAAAGCAGAGAGGTGATTCAGGGAAGACGGCCAGCGAGCGGAAAGCGGGGATGGGAGACCGGAAGAGGAAACAAAGCAAGGTGCAGTGATGAGCATGCGTAAAGACGCAATGAAACCCTTACTCTGTATGCTAAGGCAAAGCAATTAAAAGCTCAAAATTACCAAATGTGCCATAAAACAAGAAGTCTGAGAAAAACAGAAAAAGGAATATGCTCGCTTGATGTCATGCTGAATCTAAAAGATGGGGAGATTACTCACAACTCACCTTTGCCAGAAAAGTTAAGAGTGCCGTCAGCCCGAATAATCAGAACATAAACAAGCACATTCTTTCTTCTTGGTGCATGTGTGTGCTGAGACGGTCTCATTATGTAGCTCTGGCTGGCCTAGAACCTGTTAGGCAGACCAAGCTGGGCTTAGAACTCACAGAGATCTTCCTCCCAAACATTAGAATTAGAAGCGTGTACCACTATGCTCAGTTGCTTTCCTCTTTTGACTGAGCTTAGAGCAACGGACCAAGCGGTGGAGAAGGGTTGCTGGGAGGGGTGGAGAAGGGTTGCCCGGAGGGGCACAGGCTAGTGGCTGAGGATTGGTGGGTCCAGTCCAGTTTACCTCCCATCCAATCCAAACAAGCAAGCCTCACAGAGCTATCACATGGCTTGGCAGGCAGGCTAACTTTAAAGCAGTGGCATGCACTGCTAACTCCTTTGTTAATTTCAGTAATTGTGATGGGGGAAGTCCTATGTATATGTCAATAAAGCACTGTTGGGCCAATAGGGAACCAAGATAGGTGGGACTAGGAGTCCAGGAGAACTCTGGGAAGGAGAAACACAGGGAGTCAAGATGTAACGCCATGGGGTAGGAAGCTTGGAACTATTCTCCGGTAAGAGAAATACTTAGATTAACAATTATGGGGTAATTACTTAAGTCAGAGCTAGCCAGTAAGAAACAAGCAAGGCCAACAGCTTCATAATTAATATAGCAGCCTCCTGAGTGTTTATTTGGGACTGATGTGGCTCTAGAACCAGGCTGGCGGGAAGGCTTCTCTCAAGGAAAAAACTTCTCTTTACAGAATGGTGTCAGAAGTGGGATGATGAATTTCCACGTAGAATGACAAACGCTTTAAAGGAATTTTAGAAACAGAAGAACGGAGAGAAGCACAGATTTTTGGTAGCAGCGATTTTCTCAGGTGGGCTCTGTTTTGCTAGAGACATGCAGAGAATCACGCAGCTTGTTTATGGGAGTCTTCCTGACTCGGCATTAAAAGAAAAAAAAAAGGCAACAAGGTTGTTTTAAGAGTCTCTACTAACAATTAAAAGGTGTGCACATACAGCTGGAAGTGGCAGTATAATTAAAACTTATGTCTCTACATTTGAGATGACTCAGTAGATTAAAACATACTTAGTCAACAAGCCTGATGACCTTAGTTCTATTCCCAGGACCCACAGAATGGGAAGAGAGAACTAACTCCACACTTGAGCCTTTGGATGGACACACACACACACACACACACACACACACACACACACACACACCACCGAGTAAATAAATATTTACTGGGGCTGAAGAGATGGTTCAGTGACTAAGAGCACTGACTACTCTTCCAGAGGACTTGGGTTTGAACCTTAGCACCCAATGGAGGCTCACAACCCTTTCTAAGTCTAGTTCCAGAGGATCCAATACCCTCTTCTGGCCTCTGGGGTCACTGAGCACACATGATGTACAGACATACATGTAGACAAAACACCTATACACACAAATAAATAGCTAAAATTAAAAAAAAAGAGAACTGGTTAGGCTATCTTATATCCATTATTTATAAATGTAAATGATGACGTGTCTTTTAGTTGCTTTGGGAATAGGGGAAATTAGTCCCTGATAAAATGCACAATAGAACCATACACATTTATATATCCCTTAACAATTAGCTCCAGTAACTCAAATGAAAGCAATATGGTAATGACTACTCGTCATCTTCACATACCAACAAGAATATATAAGCTACCTGTAACAATATATACAATTTTGTAAAAATTCTATTTATTTTTTTCCTATGGCTATAATCATATAGTGCTTTCAGAAGTAAAAAATATCAGTCTAGAAAAAGTTCTAAGTAGTAACAGTAAATTTTATTCTCAAATTTTGATCAAGGAAAAAGAAAATAAAATAGACAAAAAATACCCAAGCCTGGAGAGTCATGTATATATAATTTCACAGAAGACACGAACAGTACTCCAGGAGAATCACATATATATAGAAGACATAAACAGTATTCCAGGAGAATCACGTATATACAGAAGACACAAACAGTACTCCAGGAGAGTCCTTATACACAGAAGACATGAGCAGTACTGATTTTTTTTTAGTTGAGTCCATCCTATTTATACATTTAAAATATAAAACGAATTTCAATTTGTGAAGAAGCTGACTGCGTTTAGCACCAGAAAGGAACTGTACTTTAGCTTCTAATCAAGACTTCCACATCCTGAACTGGAAAAGGAAGGCCATGAAATCCATATGTTCGATTGCAATCCCTGCATCTCCAACTGAACCACGGAGCTACTTGATGCTGCGGACTACTCTCCTGCAGTGGTTTGTTTTCATTTCCTCCAGTGCTTGCTCCAGCTGCTGAACCAAATGAAGCAGGGTAGCTGGGTCTGTCTGCAAAAAATGGGTGCTGTGGTCGCCATTCTGGTCGAGGTTCAGCTTTACAGTCACTGTTGGTTTAATTTGTTGCCGGAGACTTCTGCTTGCAAGCTTAGGAACACAAAAGAACACAATAACTATTTCATAATTATGTGGCATTGATAACTTTAAAACTACACTATACCATATAAAAATATAATTTGAGATGAATCACAAATTAAGAAATAAAAAGTAAGCTTTTGGAAAGAAAAAAAAAACCGAGACTGTAAATGAAGCCTTATGGTATGAAAAGATTCCTTAAACAGGATAAAAAGGCACACATTGCAAGTTCAAAGATTGGTCAACAGAGTGACCTTCAGGTCAGCCAGGCTACACAGAGAAACCCTGCCTACCCCCACGGGGGGGGGGGGGGGGGGGGTAAATACACGTCTCTTAAAAAGGTAAGAGCCTAAAATGGTTTCTTAAGTTTATGGAAATTAGGGCCTTTGGGATAGTTCAATGGGCTAAGTTCAATCCCTCAGTAGAAACTTCCAAAAGCTGTCCTCTGAGCTCAACACAAGTGCGGTGCACAGACACACACACACTAAATAAACATGTCATAAAAACAAATTAAAAACCTTTGCAAATTAAACTCAGTACATTATATTAGAAATAAAAGAAGATAAGCAATTTGTGAAATGACCCAAAATTACCATTAAAATAGACACATTTTTTTTCAAAGCAGAGCTTGGTTAAGCTTGTAAATAACAGAGCATATAAATAGTTCTTATAGTCTATGTCGGATTGAAAAAGAAAAAAAGGCCATACCTGTACATCTAGCCGCCATTCAAGACTATGGTAACTGGGAAGGCAAGGTGCTAACTCATTCAGAATCCTTCTGATCTCCTTTCTGTTGTCCAGGTAAAGCTGAAGTAGCAGTTTATTCAGTTCTTCAGAGAATCCCAGAACAAAAACAGAGTCTTGGAAATCCAGCTCGGAAATCTAAAGAGAAATTGAGTTCAACAGAGCACTGGGGTTCATCTTTGTCTAGTAAATGATAAAACGCTTCCAAACACAAAAGTACATTATATCCTATAATTCACTTCTGTCTGTAACATTCCCTACGGTGAAAGACAATCATTGCCCAGCGCTCCAAAATCCAAGTTACTAACATACAAAATAACCTTATTAAATTACCTTATTAAAAAACAGAAAGAATTAAGACGCCCAATTTTATTTACTATTTTCCCATGGAGTCAGATACTGACTGCCGATCCATTTATTTCATTCTCCCCATCCTAGGATACACGTATGATGGCACGTGCCACAGAATTAGAGACGATTATAATTTATACTAGCCAGAGGTGTTCGCATTAGAGAGCGCCCCGCCCCTTTACCCTTTGGGTATACCGCACAGATTCCATTGTAGTTACTACCTTATAACTGGCGCCTGTCTGAAAGAACCTAGTCGGTACAGTGCCGTCCTCAGAAGCCTTACCATGAGCTTGGAGCTCTCAGTGAGGAGATACGTTAGTCCTTCCACACCGTGCTGGATAGTGTCACTACTCACATTGAGTTTTCCTAAGGGGGAGGGAGGGAGGGAGGGAGGGAGGGAGGGAGGGAGGGAGGGGATGCAGGAGGGAGGGAGGAAGGGACAGATCACCCTTTCGATTAAAAATAAGCATGTTCAGCTACCCTGTCCTCAAAAAGCACGCAGTACAGGCGAGCGGGGCGGGGATCCCCGTCCCTTCCCAGCCCTCCCCACTAGCGGACGCCTTCACTATCTCTCTCCAGGCAAAGCCCAACGAAGCTCAGACCCGGGAAGAGACGCGAAGCCCCTGCGCGCCAGGCGGAAGGGGAACTCAGCGGGGATGTCCTTGAGCATCGAGCACTCCACCGCCCTCCTCCAGCTTTAGTGACACCGGCTCCCGGGGGGCACGGGGACTGCAGACACCGACTGAGCGCTGCCCCCGGCTCATCTAACCGACAGTCCCGCTCTGGGGCGTGCGGCGTCAGTTTCCCGAAAGGGAGGCGGGGCTGTGTGCACCCTGAACTCGAGGGCACCGACTTCACCGCACGGGCTTCGCAGTCCCGGCTGCTCGCAGAGCCAGCGCCCCCGGCTGCAGCCGCGCGGGCTCAGGCTGCCGGGGAGCGGTGCGAGCGCCCGGGGCTTGCGGGGGCCCCCGCGGGAAGCACGCGCCGCGCTCTCCACCTCGGCCGGCAGAGCCCGGGCTCCCCGCTTCCTTACGGGCGGCGCCTTCGTAGATCTTGGGGTTGGCGCCGCGTCTCAGGAACTCCACGGCGATGCGCCCGAACTCGGCCACCACTGCAACGGAAGCGAGCGGGCCGTGAGCGCCGGGCTGCCCCGGGGACCGTCCCCGCCGCAAGCCGCCCCCCACCCACCCGCGCCGTCCCCGCCCGGCCTCACCTGCGGCATCCACTCGCGGGAGGAAGGCCAGGTGCTCCTTATGCTCCTCCGACAAGTCGAGCAGCATCTTCCCGGCTCCTCCACGCAGCGCCGGCCCCGCCCTCGCCGCTTCCGGCCTCTGTGCAGGCACAAGGAAAGCTCCGGCGCCGCCGCACGGCCCCCAGGCTTTGGGTTCCGGTCCTTGGCGGCCGGGCGAGCAGGGATGAGCGGAGCTTGCGTCGCTGGGGTGGAGGGGGCGGTGGGGCCGCCGGTAGGAGTGGAAGGCGCGAGTTTCTCATTCATGAACCGTCCTGCAAGCGTGTGATGTACGGGGCTGGAGGCATGGTTCGATGGCGAAGAACCCTTGTTGCTCTTGCAGAGGACGCGGGCTCAGTTCCCCGTGTCCTGAACTCTAGTAGTAAGGGATACAACACCCTCTTCTGAACTCCATGAGCACCAGGACGTTCGTGGTGTACACACACACACACACACACACACACACACACACACGCAAGCAAGACACACACGAAAAATAAACTTTTCAAAAGTGTAATGTGTAAAAGTGCTTACTCGGTGCCCAGCTCTAGGCTCTATGGCATCAGCCTACTTGTGGGGCATAGGTTAGTAATATCAATAACCAACATTTGTTAATCGGTGTCGGGAATGTTTTTTTTTTTTTGAACTCACATTTCGCAAGAACCTTGTTATGTATGTCCGTTACCACTTTCATTAAACACAAGGAAACAATGAAGTGACGCAACGGAGACTTTGTTCATTCATTTGCACACAACTTACATATGTGGTTTACCTATTTAGTAGGTATGGCCTCTTTTTTGTTTTTTTAATGAAGAAACCTAATCCCAGCACTCGGGAGGCACAGGCAGGAGGATCTCTGTGAGTTCGACACCAGTCTGGTCTACAAGAGCAAGTTCCAGGACAGCCTCCAAAGCCACAGAAAAACCCTGTCTTGAAAAACAAAAAAAACAACAACAACAACAAAAACGAAGAAACCAGTCAGAAGATTATTTGTCAAAGCTTGAAGGGGATTGATAGAGGTCTCACCAGTCTTCTTTGAGCAATCCTTCTGCATGCCGGGCTGATGTTCAAAATTTGTAACATTTATTATATATGTTAATATATATATTACACTGTATATATAACAATTATTGTTATGATGTGTGTATTTGGCATGTGTGAGCCAGGTGTGTGAAGGTCAGAGGACAACGTTTTGCAATAGTGTATCTTACTCTACTGTCTATCACAAGAGGAACTCAGCTCCCCAAACTTGCCATCTCCCTGGCAACTTTGATTGTTTGGCATGTTTGGGGGCTTCTGGGGATCAAACCCAGGATTTCCTTAACACTAAATATTTACCCTATCACTAATTACATCTTCATCCCTGTACTAAGTTTTATGTATGGATCTAAATTATACTGAAGAAGATAATAATGATGACAATAGCAGATGTTTACACAATTCAAAGCAATGCCATTATTTCTTTGACGATGTGTGAGAATTTGGTCACCTCTTTTGCTTTGGCTCATATATAAGAGACTATAGAATGGCAATTGATAGTGACTCTCCAAATCTTTCTCCCACCGTAGGAGGAAAGGGAGGGAAGGAGAGAAAGGAATGGGGGAGAGACAATTCATTACTATCTTTTTATCTGGGAGTCTAGGGATTTAACCCGGGACCTCTTAAAAAGCTTTCCTTCATCCTCAACTAGAGACAGCCTTTTGCATAACCTGCCATGCAGACAGAAGTGTCAATCAGCTTTTAGAGCGTCTCTGTTTCTGCCATATCCTTCATATCTAATTACAACTGTGTGCTTCACTGATGTCTCTCTGAGAGACGAATGAGGAGGACCCATGGCTCTTAGGTGATCAAATGTTAAGAACTGGTAAAGTGCTGTTAAAACCATTATTGCTATTAATGATAAATGTTTTAAATGCTTGTTTAAAAAAAACAGCCTTCTGGTGCTCGTTGTTCAGCAATAAGCAGAAACAGGGTGGAATGGGAAATTTGACTTCTTTGGCAGATGTTAGTCTATCCCATTGTGTTTTTATGCCTTGAACAAGAGGACTGCCAGTCAACAGCCAGATGGGCTGTCCTTACACAATCGCTGGCTTCTGTGTCCCCTCTACAGACACCTCGAGGGAGCCACACAGTGAGCACAGGTGTTAGCGCTGGTTTCTGAAAGTGCAGCCCTGACTACAGTGGTTTTAAACACTTAGTGTAAGACTTTGTGTCGTCACAGCCTTTGTGAATCCAAAGTAAACCTGAAACCATTTCTACTTAGGTCAGAAATGGAGTGTGCCCCCTGGTGGCCGAGTCAAAGGACTGCTGTGTTTGTATAAAAGGGAGACGCTGAGCAAACATACCTTCATTTACGTGTGAGGTTGGGCTGGGATCTGTGCAAACGCCAGTTCTTTGGGTTTCAAAGCTGGCTGCTCAGTTGGTGATCTCTCCACACTGCACCCCTTCATGCTGCAACTTCAGACCCAACAAAAGGCTTCCCTGCAGTGGTGGTTTCTTGCCTACTTCTAGAAGCAGACACAGTGAAGCAGCAGCGATGGTAAAACCAACAAGATAGCAACAATGGAAACAGCTGAGCAGCCAACACATCAAGTCACAGAGGTGACAGAGCAGTCTGATGCGTGACAGCCGAAAAGGCAGACCTGAGAGGCAAGAATGGTAAAATGGCTGGTTTCTTTCCTCCCTTCCTGCCTGCCTCCCTCCCTCCCTTCCTTCCTTCCTTCCTTCCTTCCTTCCTTCCTTCCTTCCTTCCTCCTTTCCTTCCTTCCTGCCTGCCTCCCTTCCTTCCCTTCCTTCCTTCTTCTTTTAATGGCTGGTTTCTTAGCAACTGAAGAGGGATTGAAGATTGTAAAGGACCAAACAGATTGGCTGAGTGAGATGGCTTAATAGGAAAGAGGTGTTTGCTACAAAGACTGAAGACCTGAGTTGAATCCCTGTGACCCACATGACTCCTGTAAGTTGTTCCCTGACTTCTCAAAGCACACCCTGGCACATATGTTCCCATACACATGCACACTCTCTTGCCCCTCTCCCGCCCTTTCTCTCCCTCCCTCTCTCCTAATGTACTAAAAAGTATTATTTTTTATTATAGGCCTTGGTTGCTGGAAGAGTTAATGAGTTCTAAGGAGCCAGTGGTCTTCCAGGAGCTGCAGAATTGGCAGTCACCCAAAGGTGAGGAGTCAGATCCCTGCCTACTTAGAGTCTTCAGTGCTGGCTCCTGCCCAAGGCCAAGGGATCTTGATTTTCTATAAAAGAGTTGTGATCCTTGTAGCTCCAAGGATCCTGGCGCTGCGGATCTACACAAGAGCCATGGAGCTTGTAGGAGTAAGGATTCCACTACCCAGTGTTAAATTTCTGAGGCAGCTTAGAGAGACAGGAGGCAGGAAAGAGACCAGTGTGACCTCAACAGAGGGAACTGTTAATTTCAGCGAGGGAAACAGATGCAGGAGGGAAGTGGTGTCTTCAAAAAGAGGAAGCAAACACTTGGGGTTTATATAGGAGGTTTGGGGAATGCAGCCTCTGGGGCTACATACAAGCCTGTAGTCTCTCCCTCCTGGAATTGTTTACCCAGACAAGGCTGGTTTTATCTTTAGACGCTGCCTTGCATAGGCTATCAGGGTAAAGGGTCATAGTGGAAAACTGAGTTTCTTAATGCCAGGGAGGTGGAAGGGACTGGAGGGTTTGTGTGTGTGTGTGTGTATGTGTGTGTGTGTGTGTGTGTGTGTGTGTGTGTGTGTGTGTGTGTGTGTGTGTGTGTGTGTTTGAGATAGGATTTCCCTGCATAGCCTTGGCTGTCCTGGAACTTGCTCTGTAGAAAGACTGGCCTCTGCCTCCTGAGTGCTGGGATCAAAGGCATGCGCCACCATGCCTGGCAACAGACAGGAGTCTGAACATGGGGGCAGGGAATTTCAGCGAGCTTTAAGGAGGAAAAACTCCTCGGAGTGTTGTAGAGTTTGTTCAAGGTTTATCCCAACACCTAAGGGCTGCCCAAGGGTCACAACACTGGCCGGGCTAAGAGGGGCTGCCAGAGACCTGTACAAGAGCTGTATTGGTGGAGGTTACCAAAAGTGAGTGTTTGCCTGCACCACCAGCCAGCTTCCAAACAATGACACCGAGACTTCTTATTTACTACGAAAGCCCAGCCTTAGCTTAGGCTTGTCCCACTAGCTCTTTTTTTAATGTTTATTTTATTTATTATTATGCATACAGTGTTCTGCCAGAAGAGGGACCAAGATCTCATTACAGATGGTTGTGAGCCACCATGTGGGTGCTGGGAATTGAACTCAGGACCTCTGGAAGAGCAGCCAGGGCTCTTAACCTCTGAGCCATCTCTCCAGCCCCCCCACTAGCTCTTATAACTTACATTAAGCCATTTCTATTAACCTCCATCTTGCCCCGTGACTCTTTACCTTTCTTTCGCTGTGTATGTCCGACTCCCTCCATGTCTCCTTGGCGTCTTATGCATGCCTAGATTCACTTCCTACTTTCTCTCTCTCTCTCTCTCTCTCTCTCTCTCTCTCTCTCTCTCTCTCTCTCTCTCTCTCTCTCTCTCTCTGTCTCTCTGCCCTGAAGTCCTGCCTATCTGTTGGCCGTTCAGCTTCCTAAAGTGAAGCCAATCACAGTAACGTATCTGCACACAGTGTACAAATGTCTCACAGCAGCCACTGCCTGCTGCTGGACCCATCTGCTGTCAAGGGTCACAGACCTGACAAAGGCCGGCACAGGGACAACTGTCTCTTGCCCATCTGTGATTTCTGAGTAAGGCAAAAGGACTCTGTCCAGTTGCTTGGAAACATTTGAATTTGTTTTCTAGGCCTTGAAGCAAGTGTTAGGGAAGCGTGTGAAATGAGAGCTCTTTTCCGTGGCCAGTGAAGTGTGAAACTGCAAGGGTACCCTAAGAAACTCCTATACGATTTCTTACAGTGCTAATTGTGTACTCACCCTATCATCAACTACTTCTGTTCCTAGGTATGTACTTAAAAGAAATGAAAACAGATATCCAGAAAACACTTGGATGATAGTGTCCATAAATGCTTTATGTATAATACCTAAGAAACGGTGACAGTCTAAATCCCTATGCATTTCAATAGATAATATGAAACATCCATTCACAGAACCCAAACTACTCAGGAAGTAATAAAATAAACAACCTAGTATTGGATGGAATGTGGCAGTTAATGACTTAAATTGCTAGCACTTGGGAGGCTGAGGCAGGGGGATTGCCACAGGTTTTCAGACTAACTTGAGTACAAAATTAGTTCTAGGCCAGTCAGAACTATGTAGTACATGATGTCTCACAAAACCAAACTAAGCCTAAACAAAAAGGGCAATGTAATTAATCATAAAACATCAGAGCCCATGTACAGCAGTGTTCTGGTGTTTTCCAAATCTTCTTCCTAGAGCTTGGTGTAAGCACAGCTCCGTCTTCTAATGGTTGAGATTTGTTCAGCAGCTTGGAGAAACTTCCTGTGGTAACTAAGCTGTTCTACATGCTTACTGCAGTACTGTTCACACAGACACATGCTTGATAAATCTACTACATGTAAGCTCAGGGACTTCAATGTATGTAAGCTTCACTTTGGTTTGGGAAAACAATAGCAAGAAGTTAAATGATGTCTGAACCTAGGAACTCTGAATAACTCTTCTTGTTATACAGAACTTTATTTATTTAAAAGTTATCTTACTATTTCTTCATTTTTATGGCGTTTAAACTCCAGAGCATTAACATAGGGGGAAAAAAGGCAAAAAAAACCCAATAAAAATTATAGCTCCCATTCTAATAGCCTCCTTGGTTTCCCAACCCACAGGCATCTTGGGGTGCCAGCTTTTGTTTGTTTGGTTTCTTGTGAGTTCTTTCTGAGACTCAGGGGGGCGTCTTAACATCTGACATCAGAACAGCACTGTCCTTTAAGGGTTTAAGTGCCATTTGGACGTCTGTACCCCTGATGGCTAACCTTGGATGACCACTTGACTGGATCTGGAATTGACTAAGAAATAAACCTCCAAAACTGTGAGGGGTTATCTGGACAAAGGCTAGCCCCTGAGACTGTGTGTGAGGGGTTATCTGGACAAAGGCTAGCCCCTGAGACTGTGTGTGAGAGGTTGGATAAAGGTGAGCCCCTGATGTGTATGAGGGTTTTTTTTATTGCGTTATTTAAAAGTGGGTAGATGCACCTGAAATGGCATCTTCTAATAGCAGCTGTCTTAGTTACTGCTCTGTTTTGTGAAGAGACACCATGACCAAAGGGACTCTTATGAAAGAAAACATTCAGTTGGGTCTTGGCTTACAGTTTCAGACGTTTAGTCCATTCATGTCACGATGGGGAGCATGGCAGCTTGCGACAGGTGCTGGAGCAGAGGCTGCGGGCTACACCCTGATCCATAGGCATCGAGAGACTGGGCGTGGCATGGGCTTTTGGACCCGCAAAACGTCACCAGTGGAAACACTTCTGCAAGAGAACCCTAAGAATTCCAGTATATGGGTTTTTATATTCTTATTCAAGTCTCCACGTCAGCAGTATGCAAGGAGGTCCCAGGAAAGGCTTTTGCTTTTCGCCTGCTTGCCCTTGTGCCTCAGTTTCCCCTGTTGTTATTGCTGCTGCTGCTGCATTCCTTCCCTGATAGGAAAATCCACTTTCTTCTGTCTACTCATACGAAGACCAGGAATCCTTTCCACCTCCAGCATCAGGTTGGAACTGTGGAACCATCCAGTCTCCCAGACTGAGCAGGTACTGGTTTCCCCGGTGTGAAGACAGCTGTTGTTGGACTATGAAAATAACACAATGCAAGCCAACCTAGTGAACCCTCTTAATACATATTCATTTTATGGGTTCTGCTCCTCTAGAGAACTTTTAATAACACAGGGTCCAAGCAAGCATGCTGTTAAACATCCGACATCTGAAGTCACGTAGCATTAGAACTGCTGTTAGACGTATTGATGCTAGAACTGGAGATTTGACCTGTGCGAACCAGGGCTGCTGTGAATTTTCAAAGTGTAGTTTCTGGAAGGTTTTCATGCTTTGCTGGACCTCCTTGGATAGTCAGGTTAGAAACACTCTTTTTGGCCAGGACTCTTGCTATTCCTAATTGCTGAAGCCATCGCTTCTCTTTAAAGGCACTACAAACAAAACAAAACAAAACAAAATACAAGGACATAATTCACAAGGAGGTCCAATCTTCCCTGTACATTGCTGAATATTGAGAGTGATGTCATTACTGTGTAGTTCACTTGTCGCATAGATCAGAGGGGAAATATTAACAACAGTCTTTCTGAAGCCAATATCTTATGAAGCAGGAAGGATACTCTCCCTAGTTAGTGCTACAAGTTTACAGCCCGCCACAAGAAATTGAAACTCACACAAGGTCGTAGAGAATTTTCTGGGTCATAACATTTTCTGTCTGTCCTTCCTAGGCAGCTTTCTGTAGCACACCCTCCCTCATTACCCATCCTTCTTGACTCCAGGGTATTCTTAAATTTAAAATCAAGTCTGTTTTTGATAGTCTTTAACTGAAATGCTACGAAACTAATTCTTCACTACAGTTGCTCCATCTGTACTAAGAAAGACTTGTAGATTTCAATGTAGCTGGTGTTACTTTGTACAATGAGATGCCATTCATTAAAGAAAGATCTTACAGACCAGAGAGACAGCTCGTAGTTAAAAGCACTGGCTACTCTTGCAGAGGACCCTGACTCAGTTCCCAGCCCCATGTGCTAGCTCACAGCCATCTGTAACTCCAATTCCAGAGGCAGATGTCCCTTCTGGACCCACAATAAGAATATTTCTCTCCTATATACTTACAATTTAGCACATCATTCGTAGTCTCTCTAAATTTGTTCCCTTCATGATACATTTGCTCTCCTCTCCACATACAAAGCTAGAAACAAACCCAGTTTCTTCTGTCACTGCTCCAACAGCATCATACACCACCATACACCATCACACACCATCACACGCCATCACACACCATCACACGCCATCACACAGCATCACACGCCATCACATGCCATCACACAGCATCACACACCATCACACAGCATCACACAGCATCACACACCATCACACAGCATCACACACCATCACACAGCATCACACGCCATCACACACCATCACACACTATCACACACCATCACACACCATCACACAGCATCACACACCATCACATGCCATCACACAGCATCACGCGCCATCACACACCATCACACACTATCACACACCATCACATGCTATCACACAGCATCACACAGCATCACACACCATCACACAGCATCACACACCATCACATGCTATCACACACCATCACACGCCATCACATACTATCACACAGCATCACACACCATCACACACCATCACATGCTATCACACAGCATCACACACCATCACACGCCATCACACGCCATCACATGCTATCACACAGCATCACACGCCATCATACACCATCACACGCCATCACACACCATCACACGCCATCACACACCATCACACGCCATCACACGCCATCACATGCTGTCACACAGCATCACACGCCATCATACAGCATCACACAGCATCACACACCATCACATGCTATCACACAGCATCACACGCCATCACACGCCATCAGTGAGGGTTTATAGCCTATGCTCAGCAGCATGTCTTCATGTCTGGCGGTTTCCCTCCTCCCTAACAGCTCCTCTCTCTGTCTGCACTGTCTCTCGCTTGTCATATTGCTGCTTCCTTTCTCTGCTGGGTGGGGTCTTGCTTTTCGCAGATTTGTCTTTAAAAGCAAAGACATTTGTCTAGTTTACTTGCTTACTAAAGCCCCACCTCTGTGGTCTCCCTGTTTAACTCCCTATGCTGTGGGGACAAGAATAAGAGGCAGTTCTCCACTTGGGCAGAAACGTTTCTGCTCAATGTAGACATCGTCTACCTTGTCAATTTCACCTCTAGTCTTTCTTTCCCTGGGCCCCCTAAAATGCATTTTGCAAAGTCCACTTTCCTCATCATTCGATTTCTTCCTTGCCTTTCACAAAGCAATATAGTCAGCTATGTCATCCATCACCTTGCCTAGATCCTTCCCTTAATCATTCTGGTACTCTGAAGAAGTCCTGTGGATTTTTTTTTTTTTGCTTTAAAATTTTATTTTATGTTTTTGAGTGTGGCAGTTTCAGTGTTATTTCCTCCCCTGCCAATCTTATAGGGAGTGGCACTGTTAGGAGGTGGGGCTTGTTGGAGGAGGTGTGTCACTGTAGGGGGTGGGTTTTGAGGTTTCCCATGCTCAGGATACTGCCCAGTGCCTCAGTTGACTTCCTGTTGCCTGCAGGATGAGCACTCTCAGCTCCAGCACCACGTCTGCCTGCACACTGCCATGCTCCTCACCATGATGACAATGGACTTAACCTCTGCAACTGTAAGCAAACCACCCCAATTAAATGTTAGAGATAATGAGTGTTTTCCTTGCGTGTATACATGAATACCACGTGTATGCTTTGTGTCCTCAGAGGTCAGAAGAGAGCATTGGATTCCCTGGAACTGTAGTTAGGGTTGGTTTTGACAGCTATATGGGTGCTGAGAGCTCACCCCCGCATCGTCTGCAAGAACGGTAAGTTCTCTTAACCACTGTGCCGTCCTTCCTTTAGGTTTTAACATGCTGTGCCCACTAGGAGTGGTCCCCAGGTCTACCAAATTCAACTTTTCTCTGTGTGTTCTGTTGGGCTAACTTCTGGCTTTATCTTGGTGGTTATGTCTCTTTGAACCCTGTAAGTGGGTTAACCATGTGTGCTGCCCATAGAATTAATTCTTTGTTGTTGTTGTTGTTGTTGTTGTTTTTTGTTTTGTTTTGTTTTTAGAGACAGGATTTCTCTGTATTGTTTTGGAGGCTGTCCTGGAACTCACTCTGTAGACCAGGCTTGGCCTCGAAGTCACAGAGATCCGCCTGCCTCTGCCTCCCGAGTGCTGGGATTAAAGGTGTGCGCCACCAACGCCCAGCAGAATTAGCTCTTAAACCTGGAAACAGTCACTCACACTTAGTCAGCTCTTCTTCATAACCCAGGAGACTGAATTTGAGGCCCTTTCTCCCTCATTGTGACGTACACCCCCACTTCTCCCGGTTTGGATTTTCTGTCATTCTTACACTGGCATCTGACTTCTGGCTCTCCAGGATTCACTCACACTCTATACCAAGGACCGCTCCAGGCACCGGAGACACAAAACCATGAACGAAACAATAAGGTATGCCTTTGAAAACTGCCAACAAAACAGAATAGGGAGCTCTGCTTGCATCTGAAGCGCAGAGCCCGTCAGTGTGAGCCCGTGGGCTGCCGTCTGCTCTCCGTGTGCTCTGGGCCAGTCTCCGCATTTCAGTCATCACTAACCGGGACTTCAGGTCACATGAACCTCGTTGGAATCTGTTGATAAGCAACAGGAAGGCTGGTTTTGCAACACTACAGACATCACTTGGCCTGTGTTGATCCCACTCTGTCTTCTATGCCAAGGATCAAGATTCCGTGACCTCTGGTCTCAGTCAATCTTAGTTATGCAAAAGCCCCACTTACCCGCCAAGTTAACACACATTAGCACATTTTCTGTGCTAGCTGCGGCAATGTGGTGTTTAATTCAACTCTAGAAGCTTCATTTTCATTAATCTAGAGTCCATTTAGTGACAGATGGTCCAGACAGTGCTTCTGCGGGGTGCTAGGTAAGTTGTCTGGAGTCCTGGTTTGGAAGACTAGCCTTCCTTTAGCTGACCTGACCCACGATGGACTGTGGGGTTCTTGTTCATCTTCTACTTATTATAGCAGCTCCATGTTAGTGCATGGGGCCATTGAGGAGGTGTCTGCTGCACACATGTGTGTGCACGTGTACGTGTGTGCGTATGTATGCTTGACAGAGAGCTACAGTGACCATTTGGAGATAAGTACTTGGAGCCTCTGAGTGTCTGGGTTGACCGGACAATTCAAGCGAACCCCAGTCAGTAGTTCTGTGACTGCCATGGAGCACGTGGACCAGACCAACAAGGAGCTACAGGGGCAGGAGATGATAGGGCTCTCTTCCTTCCCACAGCCCAGCAGCCCAGAAAAACTAAGCAGATCCTGGAAAAACTACAATGGAAAGTGGACCAAAACAGATGGCTTGAAGTAAAAGAGAAAAATACTGAGAAATGAGAACCAGAATGCAGTTTGCCTGAAGTAACTTCCAAGGAAAGACAGTCAGGCAGGCCACTCTCCTGGGAGTCCCCTTCTGCACTAACCCCTTTAGGAACAAAATGTTTTGTTTTGTTTTGTTTCAGAAATTTCCCCGAATTGACTATTTGACAGTTCTAATCTTTGTGACATACAATCGCAAAAACACCAGCATAACAGAGAAAACCGATCAGTATTTACAAAAGCCAACCACAAACTTATCCTATTACCCATTCATCCCTAGATACAGAGCAAGAGAAACAATCTGACCTCATGAAAGGACTTACACGAAAATAGCCATGTATTTTAACTTAAAGCAGCCTACAAGTTAAAGACAACTCAGACTTCTACCAGTAAAAATGGATAAATACAACAGGACATGAGATATTACACAGAGTTGGAAAATGTAGACGTAAGAAAAGTCAATACACACAAATACAAATTAGTCTCACAGGTAACAGGTTGAGTAAAACAGCCAGGTGGAGAAAGTAAGAACAGGATAAATCTTAAGTAAGAGCAATGGGTGTCTCTAGAAGCACATACTGTTATTTTTTCAAAACATGTTTTACAAGAGTGGAATCTGATGGCCCCTCAATTGATCAACGTAATAGTGCCTCTGTTAGGTCATAGTTTAGTAAATGCAAAGAAAATATAGAAAGTGAATATTATTTTCAGTGTACTCTGTTAAAAAGAGGCTAGGATCATAGGCATGACAGACCACACTGAGATCTGCTGACTTTTTTTAATTCTTAAAAATTGACTTACAGAAGCCGGGCGTTGGTGGCGCATGCCTTTAATCCCAGCACTTGGGAGGCAGAGGCAGGCGGATCTCTGTAAGTTCGAGACCAGCCTGGACTACCAAGCGAATTCCAGGACAGCCTCCAAAGCCACAGAGAAACCCTGTCTGGAAAAACCAAAAAATAAAAAAAATAAAAAAAAATTGACTTACAAAGTTGGATCTTTACTTCTGAATTTTACAGCCTAAATTACTCTCACCACTAGGTGGCAGCAAGTTAGGAGGAAAGGAAAAGCCAGTACAGAAAGGAAAGCTATGTAGCCTAGCTGTGGATTTCTTTCTCATGAGACCGAGCAAGAAAAAAACCAACCACGCATCTGTGCTTCTCTCTAGCCTCCGCACCCAGCCACGCTTCACATGTAAAGCGGAACGTAAGTGATTTAGTGGAAATGCTCTATTTCCAGTTCTGGGTGTGAATGTTCCCGAAAGCCCATTTGCTACACTGTGTCCTCCAACTGTGATAGTCCATCACCTTAAACATCAACCCCAATCCTACCATTCTACCTAGGACAGATGCCCTGCCTCCTGTAAGTCTTGTCCGGCAGCCTCCTTAAGCCCTCATGGTTCAATTTGTTTTTCATTTGTTCTTGTCCTGTCTGCTTTCAAGGTTGTTGAGCCTTTGGGGGCAGTTTTTTTGTTTTGTTTTTGTTTTTTGTTTTTTCGAGACAGGGTTTCTCTGTGGCTTTGGAGCCTGTCCTGGAACTCGCTCTTGTAGACCAGGCTGGACTCAAACTCAGAGATCCACCTGTCTATGCTTCCCAGGGGTGCTGGGATTAAAGGCGTGCGCCACCACCACTGCAACCACAGCCCCAGCGGCCGCGGCCGCCGCCACCACCACCGCCACCCAGCTTTGGGGGCAGTTTTGATAACATCTTCCCATATTTTAAGTTTCTTTGTCCTGTGTCCCTTTCTGAGAACTTCAGGAGTAAAGGGTGACGCATGGACTGGGCGACAGCACCGGTCGAGTCTTAGCTCCGAGGCTGAGATGAGATCCTTTAGTTGTTATGAATTTGTTTTCTGAGACAGGATCTTCCTATACATACCTGCCTTGAAACACGCCTGCCTCTGCCTCCCAGGTGCTGGGATTAGAGGCAAGGGCCGCCAGGCTCAGTGAGGAAGTCCTTGATGCTAATGAAGTAATGTAGTACTAAAACACCTCGTGTCACTCAGTAGGGCTTCATGAACATTTCTCTGTCCCAGACCTGCCTCATTCAACATGCCCTTGCATGTTTCAAGGGGAAACATTACCTGGCCACGGCTAAGCAATAGATGGCATTCTCCCTCGGAGTCCTCCCGCTGTGCTCCGAGAAGGACCTCAGCAAGCAGTCAGCCCCGGGTGCGGTGCAGAGGGACAGTGGGTGGGAGCGATCCACTCTTGAAATTGGAGGGAGCGGGACCTGGGGGAGGTAGGCATTCCTTATGTGCTTTTCTTCTCCCCCAGCTGGGGCAGTTTTCTTCGGCTGGTTTTCTTGCTGATGGCTCTGCCGTTCTGAGAACATGTTTGTGTTTGCTAAGGGTGGCAATGTGATTTGGTTTCTGGTGGCCCGTTGTGAAATTCTCAAAGAATCCGTGTGTTTCCTGCTCGACCGTTGCTTGCAAGGTGGGGGTTTGCTCTGAGTGCTTTGCCAGCCCCTGTCCCCGGCCTTGTGCCAGCTCTGGGAAGTCATTTTCGGTTTAGTGAAACCATCCACCACCACAGAGTCTCCAACTTTTGCCCCAGAGACCCTTGCTCTACCAAGATGACTTTTATGGCCCCTGTGGCTCTGAGCTCTGACAATCCACTGCTTTATTTTAATATAAATCCTCATCGGGACTGAAAGTTTTAGAAAAGAAACCGTGGAGCACATTTTACTCAGCAGATACAATTCACAGTCTTTATGCTTGTGTTTTGCTGCGATGGCCAGGGGTGTTTGCCCTGCTGCATTTTTACATTCCAGGCACAGGACGCTGCAGTTGACAAAGGCCTTCAGAATTAACAGTTGGCCGGCTTCTGCAGCTGCGTGAACAGGGCAATTAGAGACATCTGTGTGGAGGGCTTCGCGACACCAGGCTCGACAAGGGTGAACGCCAACCGCCTCGTGGGGCTGCACGCCCTGCTGCAGAGCCCATTCAGTGAGCTCAGTGTGCCCGTGAAAAGCAGCGATGTACAGGGCCACCCTTCTCTGGTACCTGAATGCATGGAACAAGTTTGGCAGAAAGGGTTAGTAAGTCAAGAAACAGACGGAAATATTCCTGACAATGCTCATTTAACTGCGAACATGTTCCAGAGGGGTTGGGATGTCGGTACTGCCAGGCGAACCTGTAACTCCGCACCGTGAGGACAGAGACAGAATTGCTAGGACTGGCTGCCCACTGGCCTGCTTCGGACAGAGACCTTGTCTCGAAAGCCTATGGTGGAGTGGTTGAGCAGGGCACCTGACATCCTCCTCTGGCTTTCATGCATAAGCCCACACACATGCGCACATGCACACCAGAAGGTACAACACACACACACACACACACACACACACACACACACACACACACACCAGTTTTGGTTTATGAGACAGGCTCTCCTGTAGGCCACACTGGTCTTTGACCCTCTATGTAGCTAAGCGTGGCCTAGGACTCCTGATTCTACCTTTGCCTTCTTGAGTGCTAGCATCCCAGGCATGGGCCGCCACACCCAGCGTGAGCTGTAGGTTGTAAAGCAGATCACACCTTGGACCTTAGTGCCACACCCCTCCCAATATCTTCCTGAGAACGTGAAAGCTAAGTCAAACTTCAGTCACATTTCTCTAGGGAGAGGCCTCTGTCTGCTAACTGCCTCATCCCCTCATGGGTTCATCCGGTTCCCTGAAGCTATTGTCTTGCACCAGGGTGTTTTCATATAGTTCTGGAATATCTGCTTCAGCACGTTGATTTTTTTTCTTTCTCTTTATCACCTGTCTTGATACACTCCTCTAGCTCTCAACTTGTATGTATCTCTCTTGGGGTACTCTTCTCTGTGTCCCCATGATGTGCACTGTTGTTCCGTCTGCACTGCGTCCTGTTACAGCCCCTTTCATACTGAATAATAGCAGCAACAGAGTTTGCTTTGTATCTTGCTTACTATGTGCCAAACGTAACTATGATTACTGACTCATTTAATTCCCCAAACATTCTCTGAGATGGATGTCCAAGTGTAGTTAGCTAAATACTGAAGGAGCAGGGCTTCAAACCAAGGCACAGGGGCCTTGGAGTTCATAACCCCAGGTAGTTTGCAATTCTGCTTCTCCAGGAATTGGTCACCATCTATTTTTTACTGCTGGGTTCCTAGGGTCTTGTGCAGTGCAAGTAAGTAATCGGTATCTGCACGATGGCTAGGCAGAGAGGAATAAAGAGAGCATTTGAGTCTGATCGTGCACGTGTTTGAAATCTCAGTTTCCTCACCTACAAAACAAAGTGAAGGGTGCCCACCATGAAATTACTGTACGAAGGAAGGCGATAAACAGTGCACTCATAGCGGTATTAAAAGTAACACAGGTAATTGTTCGGATTCAGAATACGAAACAGGATCACAACTATCCCTAACAGAAACTGATGGGGAAAAAAATGAACCATTTCATGGTTGTAAGAACTCTGCCTCCTGGCTTTCTTTTTTTATGGAGCCCTTGGAGCTCCTGTTAGTGTCTACGTTCAGTAAAACGTGTTCAAATCACCCACAAGAGGGTACTGTTCTAGAACACCCCACCACTAAAAGTTGGGAAGCTGCTGCTGACTGTAGTAGACTATCTGCCAGCTTCTCCAAGCCAAGCACGTTTAACAGACCCAGACACATCACCCTTCACAAAAGAGCAAAAGAACGGCTTTTTATTCCGGTCTCAGCAAACGCATTCATTCACGCAGAGTGAGACTCACATCAGAGACAGGAGTGAGAGTGAAGCTTGCTACCCTGTCTGGGTTGTCCTGAGAGTCAGGGATGCGAAGGCTGGGCGGAGGTAACGACAGGTCGCCAAGTCAGTTCTTAACAAGGTCTCTAAAGGAGAAGCCTGGCTCGTCATTGCTAAGCTCGAATACAACCAAACGTTGGAGACTGAGTAACAGCTTATGGTTTGGGGACAACGTTTGAGACTGAGTAACAGCTTATGGTTTGGGGACAACGTTTGAGACTGAGTAACAGCTTATGGTTTGGGGACAACGTCTGTTGCTAAACCCTGGCATTTCAATTAAGAAACCAATCACAGCGATAAGTCGGTGTAAGGTTCAAGGCTGACTGGAGGCTTAGAACAGAGTGACTTAAATCCGTCTAGCATCTTCCTTAGCTCTCGTACTTGAGAACTGGTCCCTCCTTCGATAAGTATCGTTGGACTTCAGGTTTTTGCCCAAGAAGACATCCCAGGAGAAATTCCTTCCATCCATCCCAGACATCCAAACGAAGAGTTGTGCCTGTGGATCGAGAGAGACACTTTGTGGTCTAGTCTGTCACCGTGGCTCAGCAGTACATTAAGCCTTAACGATAGATTTCTCCAAACATAGCGAGAGCATAGTGAAATGAAGCCTTGGACTGGGGGGGTGTACTATTCTTCCTTTAGGCTTTTATTGGCTGGGCAAGGCCCTCTCACACTACCCAGTTTGGGGTGAACAGGTATACGTCAAATAAGTTTACACACCAGATATTTACTTATAATCAATCAATCATGAAGAATTTATTTTAGGAGCCTACGGGATGGATGAGTAAGGAAAAGGTGCTTGATACCAAGCCTGTCTGCCTACCTGAGTTTGATGCCAGGACCCACATGGAGGAAGGAGAGAGAAGACTCCTGCAAGTTATAACCTGACCTCCCCACGTGTCACGGCACAAAATAAATAAATAAATGTCTAAAAAGTATCTGGGGCTGGAAAGATGACTCAGGTGAAGAACGCACCGTGCTCATGCAGGGCATCTGGGCTCAGTTCCCAGCGCCAGCATGAAGTGGGTCACAACCACTTGCAACTCCAGACCCGGGGCTCTGACACTTCCGGCTCCAGACCCCGGGCTGCGACACTTCCGGCGTGCTTGCGCACCCCCTCCCCCACAGACACAGACACACAGACAGACGCACACAGAGTCTAAAATGAGATAAATGTCTAAGATATTTTAGTTGGGGTGGGGATGGAGAGATGGCTCAGTGGTTAAGAGCACTGGCTGCTCCTCCAGAGCTCCTGAGTTCAATTCCCAGCAACCACATGGTGGCTCACAACCATCTGTAACGAGATCTGGTGTCCTCTTCTGGCCTGCAGGGATACGTGTGGGCAGAAATTTGTATACAAAATAAATACATCTTTTAAAAATATTTTAGTTGAAAACGATTCTTTGGTATATGTATAATTTTATGATTTATAAAAGACTAGAGAAAAATTGCACACTAGTGAGATGAATATACTTGTTTACTTTGACAGAAAGTATTAAATCTCGGGGCTAGAGAGATAGCGCAGCTGTTACGAACACTTTTGGCTCTTGAAAGGGACCTGGATTTGGTTCCCAGCACCCATATGGTAGCTCATAATTGCCTGTAACTCCAGCTTCAAGGGATCTGATACCCTCTTCTGGCCTCTGTGGGGACACACACACACACACACACACACACACACACACACACACACACTTAAATAAAATAAAGGTTTTTTTTTGTTTTGTTTTACGAGACAGGGTTTCTCTGTATTGTTTTGGAGGCTATCAGTCCAGTTTTTTTTGTTTTTGTTTTTTAAGAAAAGGTTTCTCTGTGTAGCCCTGGCTGTCCTGGAACTCACTCTGTAGACCAGGCTTGCCTTGAACTCACAGAAATCCGCCTACCTCCTGAGTGCTGGTATTAAAGGTGTGCGCCACCATGCCCAGCTGGTAAATGTTTTTAAAAAGAATTAAATACTTACTGAATATTTGATACAGATGTAATCACCTTTGATATTTTTCAGAGAGAACAGGTATTTTACTTTATCTCTGTCACTGCTGAGACTGTTGCTTTACATAACTATAATGGTACAAACGCTAAGGATGTTTTGTCTTCTCAGCATCTCTGGAAATCCTGTCCTTAATCTCAAGTAAAAATTCATCTAACAGGGTGGATGTGCATTTGCGTGTGTATAGAGGCTAGAAGTCATTGTTGAAGGTCCTTCCTTCCTTCCTTCCTTCCTTCGTTTCTTTCCTATATATATAATTTATATATGCTATTTATTTTTTAAATTTTATGTGCATTGATGTTTTTGCCTGCAAGTATGTCTTGGGAGTTACAGACACGTGGGGGCTGGGATTTGAACCCAGGTCCTCTGGAAGAGCAGCCAGTGCTCTTAACTGTGGAGCTATCTCTCCAACCCCCTCCCCCAGATTATTTCTTAATCTACCTTCTACCTTATTTTTAGAGACAGGGTCTCTTTTTTGATCTAAGCCTCAGCAATTCAGCCAGGTGAGCTGGCCAGAAAGCTCCGTAGAGTCTCCTGTCTGTGTTCACTAAAGCTGGGACTACAGGCGTGGGGCACTGCACCTGGCCTCTAGGTGGGTGGTGGGGATCAAACCTGGGTCCTCCTGTGTGCATGGGAAACACTTTGTCAACTGAGCCACATCCTCAACTCCCCGGTTACACTTCTTCCTCTTTGAGGTGGGGGCAGTCACTCTCTCCCTATGTGGGCCTAGCCAGCTTGCAACTGGCCATACAGACCAGGGTGGCCTCACATCTGTGGTGATCCTCCTCTCCATGCCTCCTAAGTGCTGGGATTATAGGTATGTACCACCATGGCTGGTTATTCAACTGTACTTCCCCCTGTTTTCAGGCAAATCCTTTGTTTGAACAGTCTCTTATTTTCAGCCTCTCCTTGGGATTAATGTGTTCACAAGCCTGTAGCTTGACTTTTTCTCCTGGCCTGGAAGCTCAGAATGCCTTCCGTTCCTCTGCTCAAACCATCCATAGCTCCAGCCCACGTTCTCCTGAACCACACCCTGTGGTCCCATCGGCCCACACCAACCTGGCTTGTGGGATTATAACTGAGGATGTGGCCATGGCTCGTTTCTTCCCCTTTACTGTAAATAAAAGGCTTTGCACCTTTCTGTATGAGCAGGTATGCATGCTGACTCACTGAGAAGCTTAAATCTCTGGTTTTCAACCTGGCCTTGATTGCATTTCCAAAACGCTGTTTTCCACTCCCTCTGGAGAGTGACTCAGAGTTCACCTTTAGATAGCAGCAAGGATAAACATGCTGCCAGGAATCTTCTAGTTAAAGCAAGAGGCTGGCTACTTGGGGTTATGCTGGCTGCCCCTTAGTAGGGCGAGAAGCAGGCCAGAGTCACCCCATCCTTCTTTTGGAGCCTTTCCTCCAATGTCCTGTGTCAGGAGATCTACCTAGAGGGCTCCTGGACTCTGGACTTTGTATCTGAAATCCTCTCTCACCCCATCCCTCATCTCATCCCTCCAAATGCTTATTTTAAGGGATTCTTTTCTTCAACATATTGAGTGATCCATTCAGAAACTTTGTTATTTTTTAATCTGGGAAAGGTGGGTTTGGACCAAGTAATTTTTAAATTCTTTCCAGCTTTAAAATGTCGTAATCCAAGAAGTATGTGAGTGAAATCAGGCTAGTTTTATCTTTGGTTCTTTAATTAAAGAATTAGATTATCAGTTGCTTGAGTAATAAGCCCCTGCATTCCAAGCTGTGTGAGCCTCCAGCAGGTACTCAGAGCTGGAGTAGCACTCTGGGGACAAATCCTACAACTTCCCTCTCTCTGATCAAAAATGGAGACAACACTGATATCAAAGTTTTCAGATCCTCAGCTCCAAACCACATGAAAGTAGATTGCTAAGCAAAATATGAGTCTGGAGAAATATCAGTAAGTGTAGATTTAGCAGTGACAGGAAGCAAAACCGTTTAACTTAGCATGCCTACAGAGCCCTGCATATATGCTAGGAAATCTCAAAATCCATTACAGCAAAAGTTATAGCACACCCACTCTGAGGTTTAAAGCACACTCACACTCTGAAGTGAACCGATCTTCAGCAATTACCCGTTCACCTTTCAATAATAATCCGAGGTTTGAGTCACTTTCTGGTCTAGATAAGACAAATTTAGCACTTTTTCTTGTTGATGCTTGGCTAAGAAGACATGACCTGAATCTATAGTATTGGAGGAGAGGTTGCAATCTTTCTATTGGGTAATTCCAGTCAGCTAGGACAGCTTTTCATCCTGCACAGCACTGCTGTTAAAAAAGTTGCATTAATAAGGCTGACAACATTTAAGAATGGGATTATACAAAGTGAGTTTTAGAAGTTGTGTGGTGTCCCTGCCACATGCGTTAAGAAAGAACAAAACTCGAACTCCTATTATGTGCTTGGAATATACTTTGGAAGACAAAGATGACGTTACTCGAGTTTCATCCTTCCACCCTGAGGATATTAGCAAAACACTGCTTTAAGAATTAGTGGAGCAGACTGGAGAGATGGCTCAGCAGTTAAGAACATGAGGGCTGCTCTGGCAGAGGACCAGCATTTACATTAAGCGGCTCATAACCGCAACTCCAACTCGGGGGGATCTGACTTCCTCTTCTGGCCTCCGAAGGTACCTGCGCATACCTACACACACATATTTGCTGTGGAATAAGCCTTCTGCACACTGTGAAGATGTGCTGCTCCCATTGTTAATAAGGCAGAGAGATCACTGGGAGGAAGAGGGGCGGCGTCTCGGGGGTCAGCAGAGGACACCATGAGACACAGAGCGAGCAGGATGGGAAGTATCTATATGAGGTAAACACATACATCACATATAGCACATCCATTAGCAGAAATGGGTTAATTTAAGTTGTAAGAAATAGCTAAAAACAAGCCTAACAGCTGAGCGTTTATAACTAATATTGAGTCTCGGTGTGATTATTTGGGAACAGCTGGTAGGACAGAGCTGATTGGTGGCCCCAAGGAGAAACTCCCCCTACATATATTCACATATACATACAAGGAGAAACGCCCCCTACATATATTCACATATACATACAAGGAGAAACGCCCCCTACATATATTCACATATACATATGCACACACACAAACAAAAATTGTAAATTAAATATAGGAATAAACAGAGCTATGAGATCTTCACTTCTTATTTTACAGACCTGGATGGAAGAGCCAAGTATTGATAATTTACACCCTCAGTGTGCCTACTGAGGTTTCAATTTGCAACAACTCCATTTGTGGTGACTCAACTTGTGATTTTTAAATCTTGCTAAGAATCGTGGTTTCCTAAAGTAGGCAACTGAGTGCTTAGAGGGTCAGGAGAGTTGTCCCTACACATCTTTCTATACTTCAGCCCGTTAAACCACATAAGGTATTAGCTATTTCAGGGTAAATAAAGTACAGTCTGCGTATAAGAGAGCTAGGTTTCCCTGCTGTCTTGGAAAGCTACAGATCTGATATCAAAGAGCTCTGGTGCTGAGAGGCAGCTGGCGTGAAGTGTGGTGGGCAGTACCGATATCAGTGTGGTAGTCCCTGAGGGTGTTGCAGTCATACATCTCCAGTCCCTTCGGTGTCCGGAGACAGTAGACGCTCACGGGGAAACCGCATCTCAGAGTTACCAGAGTTCTCAGGTCAGACACCTTTTTACCCAGAATAGACATGTTCTCCATTATCGGCATCATCTCCTGGGTCACAGCATTAAACACGCAGAGGGTAGGCTTGTCTTCTCTCTGCAGGGAGAGAAAGGGGACACTCACTGTCTGTAGGTTGTGCCGGGGACACTGGACTCTGAGCATCTCCACCTCGCATGATATGTGTGCAAATGGGGGAGACAGGTAGGGTCAGTTTTCTTCTGGGACTGTGTCTCGCCCACTTCCTGAGGACATGACATGTCCCCACTTGAGTGAAGGGGTGAAGACTGCGGGGCTCTCGCTCTTACTCCACAGACGCAGACACGGAAGAGGCCGGAGTGCTGCCTGCGTGTGCCCTGTGCGGAGAGCGCTGCTCCGTGGTGCTGCGCTCAAGGCAGAGGGACTACCGTGGGACCAGAATCTTTCTTCCTTTTCTGAGGTTCACTCTGGAGCTTGGCTCCAAACAAGAGCAGGAGGGACAACTTTCTTACAGTTGTGTGCCTTTTTATAAAACACACTTATATTTATACTTCTGGCGTTTAAATAGGGAAATAATATATGTAGTTTAAAAAAAAGTTTGCTTTGTTCCTTTTATTTTAGAGTCCAGATAGGAAAGCGAGTACATCCAAAGTGAAGATGGAAAGTTTGGGAGAATGTTCATCCTGGCCTCAACAGTTAACCAAGCAAGCCCAGGAAGGGGCCGGGGAAGGTGAATGAATAATGAACACACTTCCTCCAGTCCAGAGAAGTGAAACCGGCTTTACTTCCTCTTCGGTGGTTGCAGGACTGTGACATTTTTTTTTCTCCAGTGGCCTGTTGTTGGCTGGGCATATGCAAGTGCATGGCACTGCCCTAGAATGTCCCTCTCACAGAGGCTTTCTTAGAAGCGAACACAGGCTTCCAGGTGCTCCATGCATCCTTCACCCCGGCCAGCCACTTACACATCTTTCTGCCTGTAGTCATAGTACTCGAGAGGTTGGGAGGTAGAGGCAAGAAGATCAGGAGTTCAAGACCAGCCTCATCCACATAGAAAGTTCTCTCTCTCCTCTCTCTGTCTCTCTGTTTCTCTGTCTCTGTCTCTCTGTCTCTCTGTGTGTGTGTCTCTCTGTCTCTCTCTCATTTTTCTTTTTTTCCTTGTTGTTTTATTTTTGTTTGTTTGTTTTTTGAGACAAGTTTTCTCTGTGTAGCCCTGCCTGTCCTGTAATTCCCTCTACAGACCAGGCTGTCCTCGATCTCAGAGATCTGCCTGCTTCTGCCTCCCAAGTGCTGGGTTAAAAGGTGTGTACCACTACAGCCCAGCTGAAAAGTTTTCTACATAACTGTCTCAAAGGACAAAAACCAACCAAAGCTAAATTCTTCTCTGATTCCTCCTGGAACCTGTTCATGCTAAAAAATTATAGTATGTTGGGTCCATTCTACTCTTCCCAGATAGAATTGCCATAGCATAATCAATATACACATCCCAAAGACTCTTAGAGGAAGGATATTACTCATGAAATATGAGTTTCCGGTGTGTTGATTGAGGCCCAGTTTCAGAGACTTGAATTAGTAGAGCAAGATCAGTCTCTCTTCTGTTATCCATGAAACCAGCCCAACAAGCTGAGATGCTGCCTGTGGTCAGTGGGTTAAGTGTTCTGAGTGTAAGCTGTAATAATCTGACTCAAGAAGGATACCCCTGTTGCCCTCTGGCTCCCTCAAGTAAGCATCTGCCAACCTCATCCCTGAAATATTCATAGGCAGGCAAAAATCACTGTAAAAATCTAACTAAAGGGAGAAGACAGGGATTGGAAAGATGGCTCAGTGGTTAAGAGCACTTGCTACTTTTCCAGAGCACACACAGCACATCAGGCAGCACACAACTGCTTGTAAATTCAGTTCAGGGTCTCTTCTGGTCTCTGTGGGCACCTGCACATATGTGAGGGGTGTGTGTGTGTGTGTGTGTGTGTGTGTGTGTGTGTGTGTGTACAGACTCATACATATACATACTTTTCTTAGAGATAGTGGAGAAAGGAAAACTATAATTCATATAGCAGTGGTCTCTTGCTTATATAGAGTCCCTTGATTTCTCTTTAGCTCTCTCTGATATGCATTCATCAATAAATGCAAACAAATGACAAATGAAATACGAATAAACAGATAACGGCATGTAAAAAAAGCTGCCGAGGCTTAAGTCCATCTTTACAATGAACCAAGTTGATCTCAGCAGCCAAGTACTATGCACTATACATAATGTTAGACAAGAATATGAATATCCTGTGATTATAAAGAAAAAGGTCTCTAATCTGTATGTACACATAAGTAACTCTGGAGTGTAGAGAGAAGCCTTCCCACCAGCCTGGTTCCAGAGCTGCATCAGTCCCAAATGAACACACAGGAGGCTATATTAATTATGAAGCTGTTGGCCATTTTCTTGGTTTCTTACTGGCTATCTCTGACTTAAGTATTTACTCCATAATTATTAATCTAAGTGTTTCTCTTACCGGAGAAAGGGTCAGGACTTCTTACCGCCATGGCAGTTACATGATGACTCCCTGTGTTTCTCCTTCCCAGAGTCCTCCTTGACTCCTAGTCCCACCTATCTTGCTTCCCTATTGGCCAAGAGTGCTTTATTCAACAACCAATAAGAGACAAATTTTAGAATGACATCTCCCATCACTGGAGCAAGACATAACCAGGGGGGAGTTGAAAAATGGCTTGCAGCTTTAGATGAAAATCAGAGGTCACAGGGGAAAATGCTGTCTATGAAGCTAGATTCTTAGGTCCCCAGAAACACCTTCAAGCCTTTTTTTTTTTTTTGCACTTGAATTTTCATCAATGAACACACGGTGTACATCCTGGGCTCATTTCACGTGTAATGCAGGGAGAAAGTAGGTTCCCCTGTGCTATTGCAACCACATGTCCTCCACTGTATAAACTTTGCTTTCAAATGTAGTGAAATTTGAATTGTAGGTTGAATAGAAACGAGGTGCACCAGTAGGAGACAGTTCTGTTCCTGACTGCATGAAAATAGGAGCATATAGGTGCCTGTGGGAGACATGGAGGTCCTTATGCTCGCAGGTACACACTAGGAGAGCCAGGAACATTAAACACACAGGGTTGTGCCTTCAAAGGGAAGGATGTATGACCTGTTTTCCACCCAGCCACCCAGAAGTCTTCGAGCAGATGTGGTGGCCTTTGGGCTATCTGTGTGACTGAGACCACACTGAATCGTCCCCAGCCCTCATCATGAGCTTGTCAATCTACAGAACCTTTCTTTATGGAGATGTCGCATGTAGCCAATCTAGAGAACCCATCTTTGTGGAAGATATCACATGTATTTTACCAAGAGTTTTGATGTAGTTATGTCTTTGGTTTTATTATGCACATGGGATTGAGTTATTTATCACCAGAAAATTTTTTCACTAAATTGTGTTGTGATTAAATATACCTGTGACTATCTTAAATGCTCTTCCCCTATAATGAGATTGATGACTACCTTGAATGCCATTCTAGAACCTTTATCCAGTAACTGATGGAAGCAGAAGCAGAGATCCACAGCTAAGCACTGAGCTGAACTCCTGAAATCCAGTTGCAGAGAGGGAGGAGTGATGAGCAAAGGGGTCAAGACTAGGCTGGAGAAACCCACAGAAAGAGCTGACCTTAACAAGGGGAGCTCATGGGCCCCAGACTGACAGCTCAGAAACCAGCATAGGATGGAACCAGGCCCCCTGAACATGGGTGTCAGTTGGGGACCTCGGCAGTCTATGGGGCCTCTGGTAGTGGAACAGTATTTCTCCCTAGTGTACGAATGAACTCTTGGAGCCCAATCCACATAGAGGGATACTCTCTCAGCCTATATACATAGGGGAGGGCCTAGGCCCTGCCCCAAATGATGTAACAGACTTTGAAGATTCCCCCATGGAAGGCCTCATTCTTTCTATGGAGCAGAAGAAGGATGGGATGGAGGTCAGTGGGGGGCATGGGAGGATGGGAGGGAGAGGGAACTGGGATTGATATGTAAAATAAGATTGTTTCTAATTTAAATTAAGAAAGAAACTAAATATGCCTAGGATAAACTGCTCAGGGTCACATTCCCAAAGTCTGAACCAACACTGGCTACTTAGTTGCATTGAATTGAACTACCTACTCTCTTGCCTCCTGCAGTTGCGGTGATACATCCCCACCACTACAGAAGCCAGTTAATAGCAACTTACTAACGAAATGATACAATAGAAAGCATCTCACAATAAGGCATCTATGGGCCAACAGGATGGCTATATGGATAAACACACTGACCACCAACTCCGATGACCTGAGTTCAATACCTGCGACCCACATGATGGAAAGAGAAAACCAACTCCCTCAAGTTGTGTACTCCTCATGTACACTATAGCATGTGTGAATGCTTGCATCCACATGCGCACACACAAGATAAGTAATAAGCATTTTTAATAGAGAGGATGTCTGTAAGAGGGGGGCTCTCCCTGCCTCCATATGCGACATTCCTTCCTAAGCATTCTGAATAAAGAAAGGTTGTTCAGTTATACCCAAATGTGTCAGATGCTATTAGATAAACAAAACTGTAAATAATCATTGTTGAACACATACAAGATTAGATTTTTCCCTTTTGAAACAAAAACACAAACAAACCAATGAGCCACGGTAGAGAACAAACTCAAAATACCCTACTCTTCAATACGAACACATGTATTCTATCTGATCATGATTCCAGGACTAGAGAGATGGCTCAGAGGTTAAGAACATTGGCCACTCTTCCAGAGGTCTTGAGTTCAACTCCCAGCAACCACATGGTGGCTCATCTGTAATGAGACATGGTCCCTCTTCTGGCATGCAAGCATACATGCAGGCAGAACACTGTAAAATAAATAAACCTGGTGGTGCACCCCTTTAATTCTAGCACAGGAGAGGCAGAGGAAGGAGGATCTCTGTGAGTTCAAGGCCAGCCTGGTCTACAAAGCAAGTTCCAGGAGAGACTCCATCTCTACACAGAGAAACCCTGTCTCATAAAAGAAACAAATAAAAAAAAATAATTCCTTTTTTGTCTCCAAAAAGTAGATGAAAATCCACTGAAAAATATATGTACATTAGCAACGAGAATG